CCCCACTTGGGGGGCCCAAGACCCCAGGGTCCCCACTTGGGGGGCCCAGACCCCTGTGTCCATGAGTGGGAGGGGGCTGGGAGGTTGAAGGGCCCTCACTTGGGGGGCCCAGACCCCTAGATCTGTGGGTGGGAGGGGGGTGGGAGGTTGAAGGGTCCCCACTTGGGGGGCCCAGGCCCCTGGGTCCATGAGTGGGGGGGATGTGGGAGGTCCAGGGTCCCCACTTGGGGGGCCCAGGCCCCTGGGTCCATGAGTGGGGGGGATGTGGGAGGTCCAGGGTCCCCACTTGGGGGGCCCAGGCCCCTGGGTCCATGAGTGGGGGGGATGTGGGAGGTCCAGGGTCCCCACTTGGGGGGCCCAGGCCCCTGGGTCCATGAGTGGGGGGGATGTGGGAGGTCCAGGGTCCCCACTTGGGGGGCCCAGGCCCCTGGGTCCATGAGTGGGGGGGATGTGGGAGGTCCAGGGTCCCCACTTGGGGGGCCCAGGCCCCTGGGTCCATGAGTGGGGGGGATGTGGGAGGTCCAGGGTCCCCACTTGGGGGGCCCAGGCCCCTGGGTCCATGAGTGGGGGGGATGTGGGAGGTCCAGGGTCCCCACTTGGGGGGCCCAGGCCCCTGGGTCCATGAGTGGGGGGGATGTGGGAGGTCCAGGGTCCCCACTTGGGGGGCCCAGGCCCCTGGGTCCATGAGTGGGGGGGATGTGGGAGGTCCAGGGTCCCCACTTGGGGGTCCCAAGACCCCAGGGTCCCCACTTGTGGGGCCCAGCCCCCTGGATCTGTGGGTGGGAGGGGGCTGGGAGGTCGAAGGGCCCTCACTTGGGGGTCCCAAGACCCCTGGCTCCCCACTTATGGGGCCCAGCCCCCTTGGTCCCCCCCAGTTTTGACCCTCTCTCCCTCCCCCCAGATCCATGCGCCCATTTCCGAGACCGAGGACATCGAAGAGGAGGAGGCGGAGCCTCTCAATGCCCCGCCCCCAAGCGAAGCCCCGCCCATTTGGGGGGCGGAGCCTATTTAAGCCCCACCCCCTGTTTAAGCCCCCTCCCCACCTTCAATAAAGGAGCCAGAGCCTGGAACTGGGTGACGAATGTTTAATTAACAAACAACTAGGGGGGAGGTTGTGGGGGGGTGGTGGTAATAAGGTGGGTGTGGC